ATGATTGGTAATGTGAGTGAAGGTGAACTTCGCAGAGGAAAGGAATGGCGGAAAAAAGGGGGAAATATGGTACCTGCAGCCCATCAATCTCGACTTCTCCACGTGCTGGCCAAGAAGGGTCTGGTCTGCTCTCTTCTATTACAAGAGGAGGCTCACTTGGAACAGAAATGTACTGAAGAATTCTTTCCACTGATATGATTTTGTTCTCCAGATTACACATATTCCATATCACCGAAGCTTGAATCATGTTTAGATTGAGTCCATATGTCACCGCTAAGCCAGCAAGGGCTGTTGGAGGGAGAAAACCAAAAGACAATGCAACATCTCAGCTTCAATGGTTATGCTTTTTATGACAAATATAATAGCAAAGGGAAGATGAAGAGAGAATGTACTTACATGGATCTATTCCAGGGAAAGAGATCAAGAAAAACAAAGAGAAGGCAAACGTAATAGAAGAGAAAAAGTCCAAACGAAAGCAAAGCCATTCCGTTGCTCCAGCAGTATGAAACTTGGGGCGGGAATATGCATCTGTAAGTTTCATAGAGGTCTCTTTGAATCTTGGTTGTTGATCAAAGCTCCTTATGGTGATTGTGCCTGAAATTGTTTCAGCAAAATGCTGGATCACAGGAGCTTTGCATACTCCAACCAGCCGCGAAAGTTCTCTAGCTGCTGGTATGTAGTATTGCTGCACATAAGCAAAATAGTGATATAACATTTAACTTTGTACAAGATTAACACAATTCGATCAAGAAAGAATGCTTAAGAGATAAACATAAAGGCTACCTGAATCCAGATGCTGATAGCAATAACTGGAATAAAAACAATAAGAACTTGCCACGCCACTTGAGACATCACTATAATAATTCCCAGAAGCTGGATCATTGAATAGACAGTTGCCCCAAGTATGTAAGGAATTTGCTGATCCCAGAACTTTGATCAGTGGAAGCCTGTGAAAAAAGCATTATAAAGCAATTAGTTTCGGGTAAAAGCTCAAATCATTGCATGGTTTTTGGTTATGCAGTCACTGATTTACCCGATTGAGTATCCTTCCACTAGGTGTCGAGTCAAAAAACGACATGGGAGCACGGAAAATGGACAAATGCATCTTGTCGAAGAGCAGGGTTGCTGTCTTGTAAGCTATGGTTGCAAGGAGAGTGGTTCTGCCCTAGGATGCAAAGAGAGCTTGCAACAGCCAAAACTACATATACAGCTATCAGTGTCATTGGAGGAACAGGAGGCTCCTCATCCTTTGATACTGGAGTTGCCCAAGCCATCCAATAGTTGCTGCTAATCTGGAGGATTTGAAACATTGTATGTGCAAGCACTGCAAGTGGTGCAAGAGCTCCTCCATATGCTGTGGTGAGATACTGCCAGTAGACTGAAAATCCAACTCTTCCTTTCTCCCTCTCTTCTTCTTGAACAAGCTGACCCTGTGGCTTGCCTGTCTCGTCTTCTTTACCATTTTGCAATACCTTGTCTCCATCTTTCGGCTCAATTCCATTGCTATTGCCCATGTTGCCAGTTTCTTTACTGATAATACTTCCATTCTCAGATTTTGAAGCTTTGGAATCTATCACAGATAAAGCGGGCCTTATGTGCACCAACAAGTTCCATGAAATCAGATCCTGAGTTGAGAATGTCACTGTACTTTCCAGCCTGTGTTATCCTTCCATCTTTCAATACCTACAACCAGAAGTTACAAATGCAATTCGAGTCTTCCCTTTATTCATAATTTGAAGAAACATTACAAAATCAAAAAGAGAAAATGCCATCGTATGCTTGTCACTCACCAAAATTAGATCTGCAGCAGGTAAGAATTCAACTTGATGAGTGACATAAACCACAGTTTTGAAACTCAGATGACCCAGCAAGACTTCCTGTTGCAATACAAACAGAGAGAACATAAGTCTCATTGAAGAACAGATGAATAAGAACAAAAGAGGGAAACGTGCTTAATTCACCTTAAACAAATGAGATCCAGTATGAGCATCCACTGCACTGAAAGGATCATCGAACAGGTAGATGTCGGCATCTTGGTAGAGGGCACGAGCAATCTGAATTCTCTGCTTCTGTCCTCCACTCAAATTGATGCCTCTCTCACCAATTCCTGTTTGATCGCCAAATGAAAACATCTCCATGTCCTTCTTCAGTGCACAAGCTTCCAGTACTCGGTCGTACTTTTCTCTATCCATCTCTTGGCCAAACAAAATGTTGTCCTGAATCTTGCCACTCTGTATCCAAGGTGACTGAGAAACATAAGCCTTTGTCCCACACAGCTCGATGGTGCCAGAGATCTTCGGAACCTCTCCAGGAATGCAGGAGAGCAAGCTTGATTTGCCTGAACCAACAGTACCACAAACAGCAACCTTCATCCCACGGTACACCTTCAGATTTACATCTCTCAGTGTGGGGTTTGGTGAAGATGAATCCCAAGAGAAACTCCCATTAACAACCTTCAATAGCAGTTTCAGAAGCTTCTCTTGGAATCCTCTTCACTACATCATCCGGCAAATCATCGAGACGCAAGAAAGCTACAATTCTGTCAAGCGAAACCTTCATCTGAACCACTATGGAGACGGTATCAGGAAGACTGTAGATGGGTTCTTGAAGAACCCGAAAGGTTGCAAGAGCTGATAAGATTTTCCCAGACTCCAGTGGGATGCCCAAAAGAAAGCATGTACCAAAGGTGACAACTGAGACAAAGGTAGGGGCACCCCAGAAAACAAAGCTAATAAAAGCTGCAGCGTAACCATAGCTTTTCAACCATATCGTCTCTATCTTCCGCAGCTCAATAATCTTGGACAGAAACTTCATCTCCCAAGCCTGCAGCTTCAGAATTCTCATGTTCCTCAAAATCTCCGATGTTGCTTTCATTCTATTGTCTTTCGACTTCATCAGCTTCTCCTGGTATCCCTCTTGCAATCTCCCCAAGGAAAAATTCAGCAACATCACCATTATAGTGGCAACGAGAGTTGCTATAGAAGCAAGCCCCAAATTCCTGTACAGTATGTACAAGGCTAGACCGACTTGTAAAAAAACCAGCCATGTATCATGAATGTACCAAGAGAAGTCACCGAATCTTTGAGCATCCACTGTCATGATGTGATGATTTCTCCACTAGTTTGGCCCTGCTTGGACTGACAGGAGAGAGTCAACCCTTTGTTGTAGATCATTGCAACTACTGCTGCGCGCCACCGCATGCCAATTTGTTGCAACTTAAAGAACCATAGCCTTTGCGTGATGCACTCGACAATCTTGCCAACCAAGAACACAGAAGCCAGGACATATCCTTGATTCCTGTACTCCTCTTGCCCACTTAGGCATTGAACAAAAGCATCTATGAGATATGGACCGACATAAGATGCTCCTGTGTACAAACAGGGCTTGAAAAGCCGTCAATAGGATCTCTTTCCAAGCTGTAAAGAACAAAGCCTTTGCAAGCTTGAATGCTGTAACTTCACTAGCAGAGCCCCCATCCGATTCAATCCTCTGCTTAAGAGATGTGAATGCCTGAACAACACTATCATCTTTATAAAGCTGAGGAACATCCTCAAGGTCTAGAGCTTTCTTATTGCCAAGAGCAATCAGAGAACCCATCCAAGAGAAAGACAAAAGACCCAGAACACCAGCATCCGAATAAGGAGTGGCAGTGGCATCCGCTCTGGAAAGTTTTAAGCTAGACTCTTGACCCAAGAGAGGCTCTCCCAGAAGTGTATTCTTCTCCCTCGTGTTTCTGAAGAATCCGACGTAACAGAGAAACAGACCAACGACCACAGAGACTGCATCAGAACCAAACGTGGAATCTGGGAATAGGATTGGAGATTGTTGTAGAGAACAAGGTCCACAACAAGGCAATAAAAGGAGATTCCGAGATAAAACCCCCACCAGACCCTCAAGGAAATGGGAACTTAGTCTCGGCAGTATTTGCAAATTGGGTGTGCAGAAAAAACACTAAGCCCACCCCAAGAACAAGTTCTAAGAACCAAATCCAATAGGGTCCAAAACTCATCATCATCAGACCACCCATTCATATACCAATAGAAGTAGCTGAATAGACAAAACGTGAGATTGAACAACGAAACGCCAAGGGAACAGAGCACGGTCAGGTTATAGCACAAACACCTTCTGTGCTTACCTGACGAGCCTTCCTTGGCGCCGTCACTAGCATCATCACCTACCCTGAATTTCTTCTTTAGGAACGAGAGAAAAAAGATGAGCAACAAAACCAGGTGCAATGAACCGGAAAGCCCATGTAGGAAAATGGGTCTCAGAAGAAACAACTCATTGCCACCTGACGATGATGAGTAGGTAGAGAGAAGAGAGGCTAGAGAAGCTTGCTTTGTTGGATCAAAATTTTCCATGACTGAGCTGAGCTCTTCCTCGCAAATGGGTTTCTGTAAGTTTTCTACCTACGGGACTTTGGAAGAGGAGGGTTGAGCGGCGTTGTCTGTGTTTATAGAACAGAGTATGTAGACCACAGAATGAAAAAGGAGAGAGCCCACGAGTTAGGAAGAGAGGGCCAGTCAAAAGAGTGGACTCTTCTCTTCTCGTCCTCAGTGGAAGCGTGGAGGGCAAGGATTTCCTTCCTAGTAGAGACGGATATAGTGACACTGCCATTTAGCAGATTGGCGGGAAATGGCCGTCAGGGTCACAGTCTCACAGTCGCTGATTTTGGGAAGAAGGAAGGAAGGAAGGAAGGAAGTGGCAGCAGAACTTTCCTGTTTTGAAACAATCTGTGGAGTCTGCCAGTCTGGGCCAGGGGTATCTTTTGCTATAACCGAAAAAATGGGGACTGATCAAATAATAGAGATGGTGGATTTGTTTCTTGATTGTGGGATTTTGTGATAAAAAATTGTAATTAATTAATAGCTTTTAATGGTCTTTGTGAAATTATTTCCTAATCTATGGGACTCCAGCTAGGAATTAGATTGTAGACTTGTAAGTTGTAACAGAAAATCTTTATTAGGAAAATCTGCATCCATTTATTAAATGGTTTAGAGTAGCAAGATTACAGTCTATTTGTAACAATGGGACTAAAAATATTGTCTTATTTAGCAATAATATAAAAGTGGGTGGAAAAACGAAAATGATCCGTTAATCAATAATTTAGTATGACATAAATTAAGTAGGTAATTTTTCTCGCCGGAAAACATTAATTTCGAACGTAAAATTTTCTCGCTGGAAAACAATAATCCGTCGATGTCTATAAGCGAGTGGAAGGGAACGTGAGTCTACCAAATGGGAGGCAGCTGATTTCCATTTCTTTATTTCTTTTTACCTCTTTGCTTGACTTGCTTTATTAATTATTAAGAAATGAATAAAACAAACTCATCACATCATCCATCCATTCTGTGGACTTCCGTGCTTACTGACTTGCTTGCCCTGCAAGGATGATGACCTCTCCAAAGAGGAAAAAATGGGTTCTTGATGGAATTGGTTGGCCACGGAGATGCCGTGACGTGAGCTGGTATTGTTGCCATCATGAGCTATTGTGTGGCAGTAGATAAAAAGAATCAATTCGGATGGTTAAAATGGTGTTCAACTTTGGGATGTTCGACTCCAGAAAAGCCAACAGTAACTACATATGACACTGAATTAAAGAAGCAATTACACAGAGCTGGTCGTTATCTCGGCCACAGTTATAGTCGCGCTCTACTTTCACGAAAAAATGAGCAAGAGCCTAACGAGAGAATGAAAGAACTAAAGAAGCAAGGCGATGACTTACAGCATGTTCCAGTATAGACAGAAGAGAGGAGGTTTGCAGGGATGATCTTGAGCTCGTGCACTCTAACTAAGTCGCTGCAGCCACACGGCGATCTTCTACAGGAGCAGAAAAGTTGAGGCTTTTACTAACATCGAAGAAATGTGCAACGGCTTCTTCAGGCGTCCCAACAAGAACACCATGTCCTAGGTTCAGAATGTGCCCTCTTGGTCCAGCACAGTTCACCACTCTGATCAAACGAAGATAAATCAGTCAGACTTATAAAAAAAAAACAGGCATTTTATATGATTATACATGCAGCAAAAGGGCAATATAGTTGTCTTCAAGTCGAAAATTAATTTCAAGAACCAAACTAGATTGGATACAGAGACAACTAGTGTAGTAGTTATCATTCATGAACATTTGATCTTCCTAGCCATGGTGGGCAAATCAAATGCAGTCAGCTAATCACTTGGCTCAAACCCGTTTGCCACAAATCAGAAATTACTTCCTATTTTTCTCCTTTTGCTACTGGTGAGCTTCTACAATTCTTGAGAAATGCAATGATCCACATTATAGTTGGAATTAGAGAAGAGTTGGTCAACCAAAACTGAGGATCAAACACATCATCCTCATCAAATGATAAACCAGCACATAAGAGGTCTAATTTAGAGCATGGTAGCTAATTTCCTAATTGATCACGAACCTGTGAATTTCATCAGTAATAGCAGGGAGCGGCAAAAATAAGTAAGCAGGGTCGACATTTCCTTGTACGCTCATTCCATTCCCCAGACGCTTCCTACCATCTGCCATGTCCACTGTCCAGTCAAGTCCAATCACATCAACTCCAATATCTTTCATCCGCTCAAGCAGGCCACCATTTCCATTGATGTAAAGAACAAGGGGTGTGCCAGGACATTTGCTCTTGACTGTACTGACTATCTGCAATTTCACAACGGTGATACAAAATTAAAATCCAGATACTGGTGTTCATTAGTTTTCAAGCTTTTAGAAGGTAAGCTAACTCTGACATGTTTTTGTCTTCTCGCCAAAAAAAATGTTTTTGTCGAAAATCAAACATGGGGTATATAATCCTCAAGCACCCTTTTTTCTTTTTTAAGTTTTTTATAATCCAAGAAAGTCAAGAACATGATATAACGAGTCAGCACAAGGGAGCAACAGAAAATGTAATGCAACATGATGATGAAAGTCCAAAACGGGTGGTTGCCAAAAGCTCAGTACTTGATGATGCATTTGATGGAGAGCTGCAACATGATTGAAAGGTGAGAATGGATTTGCTAACCTCTTTGATGAAAGGTTTTGACCAGATCTCCCACATAGCAGGAGATAGTTGGCCACCCCAAGAATCAAATATCTGAATGCAATGAGCCCCCGATTCCACTTGATAAACAGCATAATCAGCGATTGCCTTGGTCAAATGAGCGAGGAGAGCCCTCAATACATCTGGTGCTGTATGACACATGCTCTTTATTGCTGTATACGTGCGAGTCGTACCCCCTTCCACTATATAGGTACCAATTGTCCAAGGTGATCCCACAAAACCCAGAACAGCTGCTTTCCCTTCAACCTAAGACGAAAATAGCACATCTATGAGGTTCCGGAAAGAAAACGAGTAATGTTCTTTTCAGTGGATCATCTTCCTATATCCTATCTCAAGCACTAGGCTACCTCATTGCGAAGTAATCTAAGCGAGTCCCCAACGAACTGTAGCTTCTCAAGTTCAATAGGATGCAAGGTCTTCAAATGCTCCTCGGAACGAATCGGAGACTGAATAACAGGACCCCTCACGTCTTCTATGTCAAATGACACACCAAATGCCGGTAGCGGCGTAAGTATGTCAGAGAAAATAATGACACCATCTGGGCGGAAAGCTTCCCAGGGCTGCAAAGAAATTTCCACAATGAGTTCAGTTGTCTCCGACCTCTCCCTGAAGAATGGGTATTTCTGGGCTAGCTTTCTGTACACAGCCATATACCTCCCTGCCTGGCGCATCATCCATGCTGGAGGCCTCGAAACAGCTTCACCCCTTGCAGCCTTAACCAAGAGAGGATCTGAATGAATACGAGTTCAATCAAAAGATAACAACAGTAGTAGCCACGGGCAATGATCAATTCGTAAGCTTGCTATATGTAGGAATTACGGCGTGGAAACATGAGAGTCGGAACATTCAAACAATGAATGGAGGTGGAGATGTACCAGGTGAAGAAGATGGGGAGGAGCATGAAATGCGCAAATTCTGGCGGGGCAGGTAGTGTGTAGAGACGGGAGGAATCAAAACTCCATTGAAATTGTTGGAGAAGCAAAACCCTAGCTGGACGGATACGATGGAAGAGCTCCTCCACGCAACTGACGGACCGCCGCCGCTATAGCCGAGAAGGAGAAGAAATCAGGGTATAGTTAAAGAGGAGAAGAGTAATTTGGTTTGGGAAATGCGGAAATTGGGACTTACCTGTTTGGATACGGGAGCTTCATTTTTCTGGTGGTCGGAATAACTAAGTTTTACCGACGAAATGCGAAAGGAACGGCGGGCGGTGCTACTCCGGCGGGTTTATGCTATATGAACCCCTTCGCGAGAGTGAATTGTTGTGAGTGGGGTAATCGGATAAGAGGGAAGATTGGATTGAAGATTTCCCAGTACCCAGTTACTCTTTTCAGATTCGTCGAGGGTTGTGATCGAGCCACGTCAGCTTTCTTGTGTCTGCTAGGGATGG